GCCCACAGCTCTGCTTCTTCTGCTGGAAAGTTCTGCCCATTCAGACCCTGGCACGTGGCCCTGCAGAGTCACGACTTCGTGTACCCACAGGGCTTCATTATTTTCCCCCACAGACGGAGCACTGAGCTCCCGTCTGAATCATGGCCTTGTTCCCGCGAGATGCCCGTGACCCTGAGCCAGCCTGGCTGCTGGGGGGTGCCCAGCCGTGGTGGTCATCTGTCCAGCCTGCAGGGCTCTGCACCCTGAGGTGATGGGCCGTGTGGCTCCTGCCGGCTCACTGCTTCCTGTGCAATCTTTTCAGCTTGTTGGACAAAGACTGTCCTTTCTCATTTGTGAGGAAAATGTTGAATTGGGGTCTCCGGAAGTCAAAGTGTAAAAATGCGTGGCATTTGGCCCTAGAGGTTATGACTTTGACTCTGCCCAGAACCAGGGTCACAGCTAGTGAGAGGCAAAGCCAAGTTGAGAACCTGGGTCTGGAATCACCGAGCAAAGGAGAATTTACTTAACTCCCGGCCACAGGAAGGGACCTCCCTAAAACTCCAGCTAGCTTGGAGGGTGGCAGTGGAGGTGGAGGGATGAAGTTGAGCCCACCTGGTGTCTTCGGGAGCCAGCTCACCTGGAGGAACCCAGCGGGGTCATTCTCCTTGATCACCTCCAGGCAGTACTCCATTAGCCCTGTCGACTGGCGCAGCTTCAGTGTGCAGTGATTGATCTGGTCCCAAACCATCTGCGATGAAAGAATCCCTAGTGACCACCTATCTCATTAGAGGGAGAGCAGCCAGGCTGTGGCGAGTCACAGAAATAGCACAGAGAAAGCCGGAAGGGCGGCACTGGTCGGGTCCGCCTCGCACCCTCTCCTGCTGCCCTGCTGCTGAGCTCCAGGCATTCTCTTTACGGGGAATAAATGGACCCACTTCCCAACAAGCAGGGCCACTGACACTCACCAGAGCAAACGTCCTACACTCTGGATAGAAGCGTAGAGAAAGTGCATCGTCTGAAACTCCCCAGCTTCCTGTCTCCCTTCTCACTTGTTGGGTGGTCTTGGGTAATTCATGGGCTCGGCTGCTTTGCTTGTAAACCACGGACCATGCCCAACACTCATTCCTTCTTTCCCGGAAAGTAATATTTTCTGATTTGGTGGGAAATGTCTATGCAATAGATGAAGCCCCTGGAGAGTGAAGCAGCCCTCTGTCCATGCAGTGTGCTCACGGGGTGCCTGCCTGGACCAGGAGCCCCGTGCCTGTGAGGGGAGACCCCGCCCTCCCCTTGGTGGGTAGCTCGTGTGGGTATTGCTGATACTGAGTGCGTGGGACAGACAGCCTGAGGAGGGGGCAGAGCTGGAGGCCTCGTCACTGTCAGGGGTCACTTCTGCTCTGCAAGATGAAAGTGGGAGGGGTCCCTCAGGCAGAAAACAGGAACGTAGAGAAGAGGGGAGAGGGTGGACCTCTGACTCGAAAGCAGTAGGATTCAGGTGTCTGACTCTGGCTTTGGAGGGAGAGCATGGGTGTTGACTGGCTTTAAGGAAAGTCACATGAGTGTATGTAGGCCCAGGGGCACCCTGCTCATCCATCCATTCCCTTCCTCCCCCCTTCCTCCTTTCCTCCTCTCTCCCTCCCTCACTCCCTTCCTCCCTCTCTCCCTTCTTCCTTTCTTCCTTCTTCCCTCCCTCCCTCCCACGCCACATGTTGGGTGCAGAGCCTGTGATGGGACTGAGGGCACCAGTACCCCAGGGATCTACCTTCAGCTTGTGCTCTCTCTCCTTAGTGACCTTGGTGAGCAGCTTGGCTTTCTGCCGAGTTAAAGCATCGACCAGCGCGTCACACTGAGCGACCAGGCAGGCTTCATAGTCCAGTCCGTTTTCCTGGGGGAAGCGAAAGCTTTAGGGAGAAGACATGCTGAAATCCGGTGAGTGCCTGACAGAGATGTGCTGCAGAGAAGCGTGTCCTGGAAGAATCTGTGACGTTATTCAATTGGAAACGTGTAGATATGAGTTAGGGGAGGGGTACCGTGAATATTGGCACATCTTTGTGGTATATTCTGTAGTCATTCAAACCCTGTTCAGAGAAGTTTTTAATGCCATGGGAAATGCTCTTGAGAGACTATTAAGAAGAAAAAACGCAGGCTACAAGTTGTGTATAGCATAGTCCCATATGTGTGTATGTAGTGTGCATGTGTGTGCATGCATGTGTCTGAAGCAATGGAACATGGAGTCAAAAAGGGGAGGTGGCCACCTCAGGTGGTCAGATATGGGTGAAAATTTTCTTTGTTCTCGCTATTTTCTAGTTTCCAAAGTTTCTGTAACACATTATTTTGCTTTTCATATTAAAAAACCCCCAAACAAACAGTAAAACGACCCAAAAAATCCAGTGCTCTTGCTGTAGTGTCTTTCTCAGTTATGAAAAATAAAAATTCCTTCTAGGTCTCTAAGATCAGCATGAATTAAGCCTCATGTCAGAGACTGAATTGTGCCTGCCTCCCCCGCAAATTGCTGTGTTGAAGCCCTAACCCCAGTACCCCCCAAAATGACTGTATTTGGAGACAGGGCCTTTAAAGAGGTAATTAAGGCAAAATGAGGTAATTAACATGGTCCCCATCCAATATGACTGGTGTCTTTATAACAAGAGGCGATTAGGACACAGACACACAGAGGGACGACCATGTGAACACACAGGGAGAAGGTGGCCATCTGCACACCAAGGGGAGAGGCCTCAAGAGACACCAATCCTGCCTCACACCTTAAACTTGAACTTCCAGCCTCCAGAACTGTGAGACAATAAATTCTTGTTGTTTAAAACACTCAATCTGTGGTACTTTGTCGTAGCAGCCCCACCAAACTCATACATCTCATCTCTAAAACATGAGAAACATGACTGAAAATGCCTGTGGCTGAGTCTGCACTTGAACTCGTTGGGAAGGACGGTTCTATTGGCTGGTTAAGGACTGGGTGCCCTCAGTCCCTTTCCTCCATCCCGACACTGGGATGCTTTATGGGGTCATCACGTGTGTGAACAGTTCCTCCACGTGCACATTTGTACAGAGCACATGCGTGTGCACTCTCCCCTACAGAGAGAGCTCCCCAGGACAGATGGTGCCTTATTGATCATGTCAGGCTCAGCAAGTAAGCAGCATGGGTGCTCATAAGTACACTTATTTAGTAAATGATGCGTTTATATTTTGATGCACTGATGACATGGGTACAGAAGCACCATAGACAGATACCGCGTAGGATGACATGGCCACGCAGCGTGCTGCATGGCTTCTTTCCAGCTCTTTCTGTGATCCCTTCTGAGCTCGTGTCAGCGGTTACATGAGCGTCGGGGGGCTGGGTGTGGTGTCTGCCTGAGGCTGTGCAGTAGGCCAAGCAGATCTCATGCCCGTCACGCCTTCCTTTCTTCTGGGTACATCTGCGGAGCGCCTTGCACCCACTGCCCTCCCACCGCTGGCTTCCTCACCTGGATCTGCTGCAGAATGTTCTTCAGCTGAACCAGGAATTCCTTCGCTTCTTTTGCCTTGTCGGAGACTCCATTTAAGGCCTGAGACAGCTGGGCCTGAAAAAGTACCACAGGTTGAAAAGGAAAACAAGGTGTGAAAGGCACACAGTTGGCACTTCATCATGAAGACTTGGGTTTCTAAGAGCCAGTCCCCCCCCACAAGCTGTCCTCACTTATGAAGAGACCGTAACAGATGGACTCATGGCACCCACACCATATGCTCATTTTCTCGGCAATGGTTGATAGTGTTTGACTGTCCTCCATTCTGCTGTCTGGACCCCAAAGCTAGAGAGAGGTACAGAGTGCTCAGCTGATTGGCTCAGGCCCACAGGCTGCTGGTGATGTTGGAAGAACCCAGGACAAGAAGGCAGCAGAGCCCTCAGCCTGGCCTGGGCCCCTCTCCTCCCATGGCAGCTCTATCCCTCCTCAGTCGGACCCTCAGACACTTATGTATAGACAGCCCAGGTCCCATTCCAAGCTCCACCGGCCCCACTCTTACACGGAGCCTTTGGGCCTGAGGGAGGTGGGTGGGAAAGGGGCTCATGGGCTTTGGAAATGGCTGGGGGTCCTGAGGCATTGTCTAGAAGGGGGTGCAGGCCCCTGGTGCAGCTTCCGTCCACTCTGCAGAGAGGGGTTCGGACAAAGGCAGCTGGGACTCCAGGTGGAACTGCGAGTGGGGGCCAAATCTATGGCTTTTAGCATCATGTTTCTTTTTAACAAAACACATACACACACAATCAAATTTGTCTTCAAAACCTAGCTATTTATAGACAGATGACCTTGCTTTTTAACACGACTCTCAGTTTTCACATTAAAAAGCTGAGGATGGAGCAAAACAAGGCCAGAAAGGCCAGAGTCATGTCCTGCCCTTCCCCCCGCCCCCCCATTTTCTTTAGGTCTCTGCTCAAACGTCAGCTTGTCAGTGAGGCCTCTCCTCTCACCCTGCTTTCTGGTATCTGTTTTCATAACATCCATCCCTCCCCACATAGCCTCCTTTTCTGCCTGTCTCCCCTCCCTGGAATAAGCTCCCCACAACAGGACTTGCCTGAACTGCGGGAAGAGCACTGGGCACACACACGGTACATGAAACGAGTGCTTGGTGAATGAATGAGTCAGTGAGTGTGACCCTGTCGACCATATCAGAGGTCCTCAAAGTGTGGCCCCTGGACCACTTGCCTGGCAATTTGTTAAACCAAGTTCTCTGGCCTACTGACCAGACATGGGAGGGGAGGAGGGGAGCACGATGCCCAGGGACCTGTCTTTTCACAGGCCCTCCAGCAAGCTGTGACGCAGCTCGAGACCCGCTGGACTGTATTGTAGAAACACAGCTTCAGCTGAACATCATCTCTGAAGAAGAAGCCATGGGAAGGGTGAGACACAGGGAGACATGTGCAACAGGAAGGGAGGGGCCTCAGACTCGGGGAGCACTTACATTCAAGGCGAGGTCAAGGTGAGGTTTGTGGCCTGTCCTGCTGGAGAGAGCTGTGAACCTCAGACAGGGTCTCAGCTTAGCTGCGGCTACTTGGAGAAGCCTTTCCTTTCTCCACTGGCTTCACCATCCCTGCCTCCTCCTTGGCTGATGTGGGCATCTCTGCAGAGCTCGCCCAGGGTGCCCCACTCTCTACTGCCATTATCGATGCAGAGAGAATATTCAGTAGGACTTATGGGAATGACAAGTGTTCTATGCCTGCTCTGTCCAGCGTGGCAGCCACCAGCCATAGGGGGCTACTGAGCACTTGAAGGGTGACTAATGCAGTGTGGGGGTGGGGGTGGAGGGCTGGGATTTTTATTTCATTTAATAATTTAAGTTTCAACCACCACACTCACAGCCAGCGGCTACTGGTCTGGACAGTACAGATCTTTGCACCTATCCTTACAGGGTGCACCTCCTAGGACAGCTCATCTGTCCCCAGATAACTGCCTCAGAAGGAGAGTGACACACCAACACCGTCCACAGGCCCCAGGTGAATCTTTAACGACAGGGATCATCAATAGAAGTTTATCAGCGTCCAGAAAAGAGTTGCACCTTCCTCCCTACCACAGTCCCTGGAAGCATGGGGCCCACTCGGGCTGCACCAGTTCCCGCTCTGAGGACCTGTTCAGTCCTCAATGGTGGGGACTTTGTCTTCTCTTTGCATTGCTAGCCAGTGGTGCCGGCATAAACTGTGGCTCAAAAACTGCTTCCTGGCTAATAGAAAGCAGAGTGGTTGCTTGCCACGAGATGCATGCTGAGGTGGGACAGACCGCATAGACCCACCAACACTGTTAGCGGTTTTTGCCAGCCTGAAGCCCCGAGATGACACGTTAGTGAGGGTCCTCCCCCCTCTGTAAGCCCTGGGAGTCAGCACTGGCCTCCCAGCGCCCAGCCCACCCCAGGCCTGCTGACCTACTTCCTGCTTGGTAAGTAGACCAAGGAGCTTGGCAAAGAGCCCAGAATGGAGTGATTTTGAAGGAAATCAGTGACCTCAGGCAATTACCCAGCTGAAAGGGGAATCATCTCACAGCTCAGTAGACACTGCTCCCAGGCCCACCAGACTCGCTGCCAGACCTCTCCTTCTGCTTCTGAATGCTGTCTGGAGAGGACTCCCCAGTGCCTCCCACCCCCCAGGGCCCAGCAGGGCTCATCACAAGTACGGCATGCTGATTTCGCTTCAGTTTTTTGAGACATGCACTTATTTCTCACAGGGACTATTGGAGTGCCAGCAGGGGACACTGAAAATCATCCCACTCTGGTCCGAGAGAAGAGCCTGCAGTCTGAGAAATGTGAATGGATTGTTTTGTCTCTGTGGATGTTGGTTACACCAAACTCTTGGAAAAAAAGGAAATATCCAGGCAGAACATAAAAAACATTTTTTTTGTGTGTTTAGTGATTGAGTGGATTTTAACCTGAATAAAAAAGTTGCATTTTAAGCAGCTGGCAGCTAGTGAGAACTGCTGTGAGCCACTGTGAGTGGCCATCCAATGGCCGGCAACCGATCTGACTCAGCTGGGAAGAGCGCAATGATCACAATACCAACATGGGCCAGTGAAGCAACGTCCTCCACAATTAGACTGAAGAACAAAAGGACAGCAACTTGTCTGTTCCCCTTCCCTGATTCTCCAATGCTGTTCTTGCCCCAATTCCTCAATAAAATCTTTTTAAAAAGTTGCATTTTAGTTTTTCCGTTTCTTTAAGGTTAGAATTATATTCCTGTGGTCTCTGAGTTTAGATGGACAGCTTAATAGTACAAGTGTGTCCATGCTGGGTCAAATCGCCTGCCTGCCTCCCCCCCGCCATGTCTTTACCAGCAGCCCTAAGGGAGCAGCTTTAGGGACACAGAGCAGTTCTCTGCCTTCCCCGCCCATTCTGTGTGGCCTTATAGTGCATTATGATACATTAACCATGAGGACCCTGGGCTAAGAGGGTTCGACTCCTGGCTCTGTCACTTGTCAGCTGCGTGTCTTGGGAAAATACTTCATCTCTTTGTTCTGTAGTGTCCTCGCCTGTAAGATGGGAATGACAATAATAGTTTCTACCTCATAAGAGTTCTTACAATTATGCTTAGTAAGATAACTCAGGCATTCCCCAAATCCTCTGTAATTGCTCAATCTGGGTCTATCATATGTGGATTGTTATAGACAATATGTGTCCCCCCATATCTATATGTTGAAGACTTAACTCCCAATTCAATGATAGTTGGAGGTGGAGCCTTTGGGAGGTAATTCGATCATGTGGGTAGAGAACCCATGGTGCCCTTATAGGAGACAGAGAGCGGCCACACACACTGAGGCAAGGCCCTGTGAGGGTACAGAGAGAAGGTGGTTATCTCCAAGGCAGGAAAAGAGCCCTCACAAGGAACTGAGTTGGCTGGCACCTTGATCTTGTGTTTCTAGCCTCCAGAACTGTGAGAAATAAATCTCTGTGTTTTAAGCCACTCAGTCTACGGTATTTTGCTACAGCAGCCCAAACGGACTGAGACATGAACTTTTCTAAGTTACCCAATTAGGGCCTGCTTATATTTTAAGTTCATACAGCTTCAGAGAGAATTCTTATGTTTTCCACAGTCTCTGTGGAGAAGCCCCTTAGTTGCCTCCTTCTAAACTTGGTCCTAGTTCTCTAACATCAGGATTACCCGATAGATATGCATATGGTGAGACACGAAGAGTCTAGAGTCTAGATGTGGTTCAACCCAACCTCTCCTTTTATACACAAAGAAACTGGGCTCCTAGTAAAATTTAACTACAAAAGAATAGACAAATATATTAAATTTAAAGTCACAGATATTAAATGGTTTGTGACCAAGTACGGGCACCATGCGTGATGCAGAGTAGACACTTGTTAGATGCTTCTTTTTGTAACATTACCTAAGATCATATTGCTAATTAAAGGCCATTCTTATTTGACTACAAAAGACCTAGAATCTAGGTGCCCCTCTCAAGAACCGTCCATAAGCTTGAAGTGGGTGGAAGAATAAGACCAGGTAACTCTAATGTCTGTTTGAATGTAACTAACACCATCTACTAATGTTTGGGGAACACACTGCCAAGTAAAAAAAGGCAAGGGCCCTCGTAGAACTATCAGCTCCATAAACTGGTGGGGTTTGGGGTTTAGTGCTGCCCATGTGCATTGACAGAGGCGATGTCCTATTACTTAATGAAGACCACCACTGAAGGTCATTCCAAAAAATTTAGCCCTGCACAGCCAAATAACCCCCTGACCATTCTCTCCCAGACACAGCTCTGACCATGTCACTTCCCTACTCACCAGTGTGCACCGTTCTCCTTAGCTCAGTGTCCAAAGATCTTGCCGGCCTTACCTCCAGCACTGTCCAAGTGATTTCCACCCTTTGGTCAAACTGGACGCGGCCACCCCTGGCTTTCCTCCTTCCTGCCTTGGCCTCTGAAGTCCCCTCAGCCTTGTATGCCTTCCCACTCCTGCTCTGACTGTCGCCTGTGAACTTCAATCCATCTACCAAGATCCTTCCAAATGCCACCGGCTCCTGAAACTTTTGCTCCCCTCCCTGAATGGAGCACGTTCTCAGAACTCCTCCTAGGACATACCTCATGGTCTGTGAGAC